TCCTGGCACCCACATTAGTAGGCTATTATTTTTGTGTTGTATTCCTAAAATTATGATTTCCTTTAGTCATTCCCGTTCCAGTTGCTTTATACATTCGTTATTTATCAACTGTTTTAAATTTAAGTTAAGTAAATATTGGGATTGTTTAATAAAATAAGTGAGAACTCACTAGTTGATTTGTGTTGGCTTGCTTAACAACAGTGTTGGGCGCCATGACGACCTATAATGGAATTTGGGTAGTGACATTAAATGTGTGCCTTAGACTTTAAATCTTTGTCATTTAGTTATGAATTTATTAATAATATATTAGGTTTCTTCAATATTTACCTATTGAAATACACCTATCTTTTGAGATTTTAAATTAAATAATTTTCTTATTTTTTAAATTAACATTAGAAAAAAAACTAATTGATATTTGGATAATTTTTATCTATAACGGCCAAAAATATTTAAACGTAAAATACTATTATAGGTGTATAACATTAATTTATTATAAAAGCCAAAATATATCGGAACAAACGAGAACGTTATAAAGAGGTTTGACTGTAACGTGATAAACAATCCTTGTAAGTAGATAATATTATCGGTGTTATAAAATAAAGACTGTAAAGTAAAGACAAGTATAGAGAGAAACTGATATATTATTCGAATTCAAACTGATGTACATAATAAACTAAAATCTTTTCTATTTATAGAAGAAAGGAAGCTGCTGTGTAAGTTGCTACTGCAAGCTGCTGTGTAAGCTGCTACTATACCAGATATGGATAATCTTCTACTGAGAGTAATGTTTATCCATAACGGAGTACTGAAAGGATAAGCTCATTGTACCAGGTATAGATAATCTTCCACTGGGGGTAATGTTTATCATAACGGAGTACTGAAAGGATAACCTCATTGTACCCGGTATGGATAATCTTCTACCGGGGATAATGTTTATCCATAATGGAATATCGAAAGGATAAGCTTATTATACCTGGTATGGATAATCTTCTACCGGAGGTAATGTTTATCCATAACCGGGTACTGAAGTGATAAGCTTCTTCAGGAGGCTTATTTCCAATAGAGTACTAAATAGATAAACATATTTACGGCGGAGTCCCATATGGATAAGCTTCTTCAGGAAGCTTATTTACAACGGAGTACTAAATGAACATCTATAATATAATATATTTATAACACTCCCCCTTGGATGTTCATTAAAAGATAATATGCCTCATTAAAACTTTAACACGTGGGAAAAAAATTCTAGTGAAGGAAAAAGAGTACACGTATTTAGTAATACGCATTGCTAGGTGCCTCATTAAAAACCTTATAAGGAAAACCCCATGGAAAAAACCTTAGTAAGGAAAAAAGAGTGCATCGCGTATTTTACTCCCCCTGATGAAAACCTTGTTTCAAATATTTTAGTCTCCGCATTCCAATCTTGTATACTATCTTCTCAAAAGTTGAAGTTGGCAAAGATTTAGTGAATATATCTGCTGGATTATCACTTGAACGGATTTCTCGCACATTAATGTCACCATTTTTCTGAAGGTCGTGTGTGTAGAATAATTTTGGTAAAATGTGCTTCGTTCTATCTCCTTTTATAAATTCTCCCTTCAATTGGGCTATGCATGCAACATTGTCTTCGTATAAAATTGTGGGTCTTTTCTCACATTCCAAACTACATTTTTCTCGAATAAAATGAATTATTGATCTCAACCATACGCATTCCCTACTTGCTTCATGAATAGCTATTATCTCAGCATGATTTGAAGAAGTAGCAACAATGGATTACTTTGTGGAGCGCCATGATATGACAGTACCTCCATATGTAAACACGTAACCGGTTTGCGATCGAGCTTTATGGGAATCGGATAAATAGCCTGCATCTGCATAACCAATAAGATCTTCACTATCTTTGTTAGCATAAAACAAACCCGTATCAAGAGTTCCCTTTAAATATCGCAATATATGCTTAATCCCGTTCCAATGTCTTCGTGTAGGAGAAGAACTATATCTTGCTAGTAAATTAACAGAAAATGCTATGTCAGGCCTTGTAGCATTAGCAAGATACATTATTGCACCAATTGCACTGAGATGGGGTACTTTGGGACCAAGGAGTTCCTCATCCTCTTCTGGAGGTCGGAACAAATCCTTATTCACTTCAAGTGATCGAACAACCATTGGTGTACTCAATGGGTGCGCTTTGTCCATGTAAAAGCGTTTTAAGATCCTTTCAGTATATGCAGATTGATGGATAAAGATCCCGTTTGCTAAATGTTCAATTTGCAAACCAAGACAAAGTTTTGTCTTTCCAAGATCTTTCATCTCAAATTCTTTCTTAAGATATTCAATTGCCTTTTGGAGCTCTTCTGGAGTTCCAACAAGATTTATGTCATCAACATAAACAGCAAGTATAACAAATTCTGATATTATTTTCTTTATAAAAATACATGGACAAATAACATCATTTATGTAACCTTCTTTCAGCAAATATTCACTAAGGCGATTATACCACATGCGCCCAGATTGCTTTAAACTGTACAAAGATCTTGGTAATCTAATTGAATACATTTTCTGAGATTTTGAATTCGCTTCAGGCATATTAAATCCTTCAGGGATTTTCATATAAATTTCATTATCAAGTGAACCGTACAGATAAGTTGTAACTACATCCATTCGATGTATTTCAAGCTTTTCATGTAGTGCTAAACTGATGAGATATCGAAATGTTATGGAATCCATAACAGGTGAATATATTTCATCAAAATCGACTCCATGTCGTTGTGAGAATCCTTGTGCAACAAGGCGAACTTTGTATCTTTCAACTTCATTTTTATCATTCCTTTTTCGCACAAAAACCCATTTACGACCAACTGGTTTTATACCAGCAGGTGTTTGGACTACTGGTCCAAAGACCTCTCTTTTAGCAAGTGACTTCAATTCCGATTGAATTGCCTCTTGCCATTTTGGCCAATCAGATCTTTGTTGACATTCTTCGGCAGATCGAGGTTCAAGATCCTCACTATCTTGCATAATATTAAGTGCAACATTATATGCAAAAATATTATCCACCACTATTTCAGATCGATTTAAATTAATCCCATCACCGGTCGAACTTAATAAAAGTTCTTCACTCACATGAGCTTCGGGTTCATTGTTTTCTTCAGGAATCTCAAAATTAATCAGATCTTGGGTCTCTTCAGGAGATCCCTTCATAGTATCGTTTTGATCATTTGTCGATTTTCTTTTTCGAAGATTTCGACCTTAGAACCCAAAGGCCTACCACGCTTCAGGCGTGCTTTAGGTTCACTAGCTCTCATGCTAGTAAATGGTCCTACTGGGGCATCAATTCGGATAGGCACATTGGGATATGTGACTTAGTTATCCTTTTCAAATCAGTAAAGCGTCTGGCATTTGATTTGCTATATTCTGTAAATGGATGATCTTCTGGACCTCCTGATTACATATAGGGGTACGTGGATCAAAGTGAGATAATGATGAAACTTTCCACACAATTTCTCTTTTGATTTCCTTTTTCTCTCCCCCTAATTGTGGGAAATTTGTTTCATCAAACCGACAATCTGCAAATCGAGCAGTAAATAAATCTCCTGTCAATGGTTCAAGATAGCGAATAATAAAAGGTGATTCAAACCCAACATACATTCCTATCCTTCTCTGTGGTCCTATCTTACTGTGTTGTGGTGGTGCTATACAGCACATCCGATTATTCGTAGATGGGTAATACTTCGTTCATGACCAAAAACTAATTGTGACGGAGAATATTTATTATAATGTGTCGGTCTTTGACGGATAAGTGATGTTGCATGCAAGATAGCATGGCCCCAAACAGTAGTGGGCAATTTTGTTTTCATAAGTAGTGGTCTTGCTATCAATTGCAGGCGTTTAATAAATGACTCTGCAAGGCCATTTTGAGTATGAACATAAGTTACAGGATGTTCAAACTTTATCCCAACTGACAGACAATAATCATCAAAAGCTTGAGATGAGAATTCTCCAGCATTATCAAGGCAAATAGACTTTATAGGATATCTGGGAATTGTGACCTTAATCGAATTATTTGGGCTAATAGCTTTGCAAACGCCAGGTTGCGAGATGATAGTAGGCACACATGAGACCATCTTAAAGATGTATCTATTAGGACCATAAAATATCTAAACAACTCACTTGGTGGGTGAATAGGTCCACATATATCCCCATGTATACGCTCTAAAAAGGTAGGGGATTCAATGCCAACCTTCATTGGTGATGGTCTAGTGATCATTTTGCCTTGATAACAAGCATCACAAGAAAATTCATCATTTGTAAGAATCTTTAGGTCCTTTAATGGATGCCCACTCGAATTTTCAGTAATTCATCTCATCATTATTGATCCAGGATGGCCCAAACGTCCATGCCAAAGCACAAAAGTATTTGAATCCGTAAACTTCTGGTTTACGATAGAGTGTGCTTCAATTGTACTAATTTTTGAATAGTATAAGCCAGAAGATAAAGTAGGTAACTTTTCTACAATGCATTTCTGGCCAGAAATATTCTTTGTAATACAAAGATATTCCACGTTCATTTCATCTATTGTCTCAACATGATACCCATTTTGTCGGATATCTATAAAACTCAACAAGTTTCTTCGGGACTTGGAGGAGAACAATGCATTGTCTATAATAAGTTTTGTTCCCTTAGATAGAAATATAATGGCTCTTCCGGAGCCTTCAATCAAACTTATATTATCAGAAATTGTTGAAACATTTGCTTTTTCCTTATGCAAATAAGAAAAGTATTTCTGATCCTTGAATATGGCATGAGTTGTTCCACTATCAATAACACAAATATCTTCATGATTTGTCTTTGATCCAAACATAATTTGAGGATTATCCATATTCCAAAATGACATAAATAAAATATATTATAGTAAACATCATTATCAAAGCATAATTTTTATTTATGTACAAAAATTACATAACCATACTATCTATTACAAACAACAAAAATTTAAATATTTACATTTCTACAGATTCACCACCGATTACATGACTTGTTTCTCCTTTTGGGAGTACAAAGTAATCAGCTACTTCCAAATGCATGAAGTCAAAATTATCTTCAGAAATAAAATTTGCTTCAGCATTTTTCTCTGTCTTCTTCAGGGAGGCTTGATAAAGCTGAACTAGGTGCTTTGGCGTACGGCAGGTACATGGCCAGTGCCCTTTTCCTCCACATCTATAGCATGCATTTTCTGCATTTGGTGCCTGCACCGCTTCATGCTTTTGTTCCTTCCTTTTCCACTGCTGGTGGCGAGGAGGGTTCTTTGATGCATTATTATTACCATGATCAGAGTTTCTTCCCCGACCACGGCCATGACCACGACTGGGGCCACAACCTCTTCCACATCTAGCTTGGTGGAAGTTCATCTCATTCACTTCAGGGAATGGACAAGAACCAGTAGGTCGGCTTTCATGGTTTTTCATTAATAGCCCATTATGTTGCTCGGCTATAAGAAGATGTGAGATAAGTTCAGAATACTTTTTAAATCCCATCTCTCGATATTGCTGCTGCAGGAGCATATTCGAGGCATGAAAAATGGTGAAAGTTTTCTCCAGCATATCATGATCAGTAATATTATCACCACATAATTTCACTTGGGAAATAATTCTGAACATAGCAGAATTATATTCACTTATAGATTTAAAATCTTGTAGCCTTAGATGAGTCCAATCATAACATGCCTATGGAAGAACGACCATCTTTAGGTGGTCATATCTATCTTTCAAATTATTTCACAATATGACTGGATCTTTAATAGTGAGATATTCTATTTTCAGGCCCTTATCAAGGTGATGGCGTAGGAATATCATTGCTTTGGCACGGTCTTGGTTTGATGCCTGATTTTTATCCTTGATGGTGTCTGCCAGACCCATCGCATCAAGATGAATTTCAGCATCAAGCACCCAAGACATGTAGCTTTTGCCCAATATATCCAGGGCTACAAATTCAAGTTTAGAAAGATTTGACATTATATAGAAAAAGAAAGTTCGTACCTCAGATACTTTCAAAGTATTTGCTCGAGATGGCAGAGTCTCGTGCTGATAACGTGTTATAAAATAAATACTGTAAAGTAAAGACAAGTAGAGAGAGAAACTGATATATTATTCGAATTCAAACTGATGTACATAATGAACTGAAATCTCTTCTATTTATAGAAGAAAGGAAGCTGCTGTGTAAGCTGCTACTGTAAGCTGCTACTATAACAGATATGGATAATCTTCTACTGAGAGTAATGTTTATCCATAACGGAGTACTGAAAGGATAAGCTCATTGTACCAGGTATAGATAATCTTTCACTGGGGGTAATGTTTATCCATAACCGGATACCGAAGTGATAAGCTTCTTCAGGAGGCTTATTTTCAATAGAGTACTAAATAAATAAACATATTTACGGCGGAGTCCCATATGGATAAGCTTCTTCAGGAAGCGTATTTATAACGGAGTACTAAATAAACATCCATTTTATAATATATTTATAACAAATCGAATATTTAAATTTGGTAATTAATTACTGTCAGCATACTGAATGCGTGCTTGACGAGGGAAAATGTTTTTTCTTTTCCTTTACGAGGATACCAACACGCCAAGAGACCCAAATTAAATGATTCCTTTCTTTGAGTCATTAACCTAACTTATCCTGTAAGTTTTTCTGTTTTGTCCTTTTAATGCCCTTTAAATCTGATATAAATTTAATAATATAGTAAGATATCTCACTTAATATAATACATTTCTTCTATATTCAGTTTGCTACTCGAGCGATGTATTGTATCAAGGGGTAGGGGTTATTATTAAACCTCAATTCAAATTTTAAATATGTTTAAATTTAAAATATCTGTTATTTTCATTCTTAATAGATAAAAGGTAAAATAAATACTGGAATCCTTATCTGCATTTCCCACACCTAAGTCAGAGCTAGTTGATTAAAAAAAACATATATTTGGGATAGAATAGAAACAGCCTAAGTTTATAGAAGAAATTTGTCACAAACATTTCAAGCACAAGTTTAATCCAAATGGTTTTCTTAAGAAATTATACAAATTTTTATTTCAGAAATTAAACCAAAAGTAGATCCAAACGCCACCTTAAGTCTTTAACAATTGAAGTGTATCCGTGATGTGATTTTAATAACAGAATGCATTTAGCAGCCAACCTAGTTAAAGTCAATTGCGCAGCTAATAAGCTACTACGTAATAGGAGCTGTAGAATATTTGCTAATAGCAGCCAACCATGCTTAATGCTTAATTAAAATGAAAAATTAATCACCTCATACGTCATACCTCTTGTCAGTGATTCTATTTGGCACTATGTTAATTAGAAATCTACGTGGCACTGTTTATCTTTTTCACTAGGCCCACCTTATTCCCCTACATCGATCCTAGCTACACCATCCGTACAACTTTTATCGCATTCTCCTTTTATTATTTTGAAAAATGTTTTATTCATTACATTTTCATTCATATTCAATACTAACGTTCAAATTCAAAATTTTAAAATTGTATTCTATTAATTTAATATTTCTTTGTTCAGCTAATTTTTTGTAACTATTTTATATTTTCTTCCTTTTATCATGGATACACTTTTTCCATGTAAAAGATGATAGATTTGACATATTAGAGTCAAAACGGTTGATTTTCTTTCTCAATCAGAATTTCTTTTTAAAATATGTAAATAAAACTACACAAAAGTTGTATTTCCTCCGTCACATTTATGAGACACTTTATTCCTTTTAGTCTGCTAAAAAAGAATGATATATTTTATATTTAGTAGTAATTTCACGTTAAATTTTATGTTTTACCTTTTAATATAATGATTTATAGCTGTAAAATCACTATTAGTATTTTAGACCACAAATTTTAAAAAAAATCTTTCTCTTTTAAACTTAGTTCAAAGTTAAAACACTCTCATTAAAATTTAGAATGGGAGGAGTAGAATTTTTATTTTCTGTATAATTAGACAAATATTAAGAGTATTTGAAAAGAAATTATAACATAATTTGACGTTGCAATGGGTAAACAAGTAATAAAATAGTATAAATTAAATTTAACATTTTAAACTCGTTTTACAATTCCAAAAGTCAAGGTCTTCTCAAAAGTTGGAACGTATTGTAATGCATGAAAGTGCGATATAGCAGATTACTACCCCTGAATGCTTACAACGGTTGATTTCATCTGACTTGTTAGGAGAAAACGAACAAGCGCACACAACTGAAACTGCGGGAAGGGACCAAAAAGGAAGAGTCATCAGACATGTCATCACAGTCAGCACAGGACTCCGCCGCTGACGGCGGCGCTGCGGTGACTCCGCCGTTGGACGACGACGGCTACGAGGTGGTCAAGGGTGCAGGTGAAGACTCGGGGGACCATTATTTTGGTTCGCAGCCCATGATGTCTGATGAAGCTGATCAGTCGTCCACCGGAGAAAATGGACCGATTCTCCCTCCGCCGGAACGTATGGTGGCGGAAGAGGGGTTTGCCCTCAGAGAGTGGCGCCGGTGAGCAAAAATTGTCTGCATGCAACAAAATATATATGTAATTAGTATAGTATGATTTAATTGATTCTATTCGTATAACATGATTTCTTACTTCGGCGGTTACTCCAAGAAATTTATTCACTAAATATGTTTTTAGTTTGAGTTAGACTTATTATAACACTAGTACTTCCCTTAGCTTGAGCAATTAGTTAGGGTCCTTGGGGATAGTGGGTTGGAATTGATGTTGTCAACTCCTAACATAAATTCGTTGAAGAAGAAAATTCTGCTAATACTTTTTGGAGGCCTTTGATACTGTAATAAATGAAAAGTTGATTACATTTTAGAAGGATCCAAGACTTTAAGTTAGGGGGTGCGGAGTACCAGCTACTTGATTAATAGGTTCGAGCTTAGTATAGGTATGTGTTCTTTTGGACAGACCTAGCTTATAAATTATGAGTTCACGTGAACCCAGTAGCTTTTCTCCAACTCTCTATAAGTATTAAGATATCCATTGAATATCTATAAATATTTGATTGTGAATCTAATTATTATTGTATATTAACTTGAGGTCGCGGTAGGAACCCGTAAACTTCAAATCCTTCGCCTATGACATTAGTCCATGGTGGTAGTTGAATTGAGTTTACCTTTTAAAGCCTAAAGGAAAATTTGCAATTCTCTCTATCCTTTGAAATGCTTTGAAGCTGATACATAGTAGAATATCTAGTAATTCATTGTTAATATGATGTCTGCTTACAGCATGAAGCTTCTTTACTCATGTGTCAACGTGCTCCCTTTTCTTGATAACATTCTGTGTAGATTGTGTTTATCGTGCAGCTTCACATAGATTTCTATAGTTGAGAATATCTCAGCGTACACTTATGATCCCTTTTTTTCATGTTTAGCTTATATCTTATGATGCTTTCAGATCACGTTTGTGCGATGATTGCAGCTTCATTCACGTCCTTTCTCAGTCCTTATGTTGTATATTTGAGATGAAATCATATGTTTACGTTTATGGACCTCCTTAAGTGAGAGGTATGATATTTGTTTCATTTTCCAGATTGAATGCAATACGGCTTGAGGAGAAGGAGAAAAGGGAGAAAGAAATTGTAAGGGAAATAATTGAAGAAGCAGAGGAATACAAAGCAGAGTACTATAGGAAATGGAAACTTAGATGTGAAAACAACATAGCTGCTAACCGGGAGAAGGAGAAGGTGAGACCTAGAGCTACAAAAATTATAAGTTTTCCTAACACATTTTGCTTAGGTTTGTTAACTTGTTTTGGTATAAGTTTTCTGTTCTTGGTGTTTGTTTTGCTAAGTAGTGGCTTTAGTTGGAAGAAAAACTATCACTGGTCTAGCGTATTGTGCATCTAGTTACCTTCTCTTCCTAATTGTTTGCTTTCAACTCCTACTGAAGAGTATATGAGCATAGAGAAGGGAGGATTAACCTAGTAAAGTACTATCCAATTTTTAATCGCCGTACCTCCTACTGAACAAGGGCAGGCACATTGAAATAGCAGCTTCTATGTTTATCTGTTTACACTTCACATGATTTGCGTTAGGTTTAAATTAAATTTTGAAAGTGGATAGTTACCAGTTTTACCATTTGGAAAATTTCCCACCTTTGATCAAAATATGCTGAATGTGCTTGTGAACGTTGGTACAAATAATCTAGACTGAGTAGTTGCGCTTTAGATGAGTTTTATTTCCTATAACAGAACTAATATCTTTGGTCATATGATTGTTAAATCTCTAAAAGTAGTTCCCCAGTACAACAAGTTTCTCCATAGTAAATCGACGTATTGCAGTTCATGTGTCATCTTTTCTTGTTCTTTTCTTTCCCCAGTTATTCCTGGCAAACCAAGAGAAGTTCCATGCTGAAGCTAATAAGACTTATTGGAGGGCAATTGGAGAGCTTATCCCAAAGGAGATCCCGACGATAGAAAAGAAGGGAAAGAAGGATAAGGAGAAGACGCCATCCATCGTTGTCATCCAAGGACCCAAGCCTGGGAAGCCAACTGAGCTCTCTAGAATGCGTCAAATACTGGTGAAACTCAAACACAACCCACCTGCACATATGACGCCTTCACCAAAACCATCTTTAGAACCCGGAAAAGATGCAAAGACAGGAGCGAAAACTCCTGCTGCCTCTGCCTCTACCTCTGCAAGGCCTCAAGCTACTGCTGCACCTTGAAGTGGACGATACAATTGCTGCTGTCTTTATCTTGTAAAGTCGTCCCTACATAAACTTATATATTATGAGTTTGAGAGTAACTCGTATCAGGAAGTGTTTACCTTTGTTTCTAGTTGTAGGAGCTAATATGTGCATAAAGGAGAGAGTCTGTAATTTTATACTTTGATCTGTAATTTGGAGTTGCACAGTAGTTCATTCTGTTGGATTTTCTTCTAGATCTGTAGTCTATTGAACGTGACCAACTACGGCACCTAGAAACCACTATCTACTCCCTCCATTCACTTTACTTGTCCACACTACTAAAAATATATTTTCACTTTTACTTGTCAATATTAAAAATATATTTTCACTTTTACTTGTTAGTCTTAGCAAATCAAGAGAAGACCATATTTTTTTCTGTTTTACCCTTTTCACACTAAATACTCACTTCACAAATCATTTCCCAAAACTTCTCAAAATACTATCATTATTATTATTATGGGTACTACGGTAAAATATGCATTTCATCTATTATTTATAAAGGGCGTGCAAAGTCCACTACGGACAAGTAAAAGTGAACGGAGGGAGTGTATGGGGTCAAATTCTGCCCACTACGGTAGCAACGACCCACGACTAAATAATAGCCGAAGTAGAGGGGACGACCTAAGAATGTCAGAGCGAAAGCGTGCCCTTAGGTCTCGTCGTCTCCTCGAAAGCACGTGACCTATCCCTGTATTATTTTATTATTTTTGAGGAGGTTCTCTTGTTATATAAAGGAGAATCCCAATGTTGTAAAGGGCATGAGATCTTTCAATAAGAAGCTATCTTTCTTTCTATTTCTCTCTCTCTCTAAACAAGCTTTCTCTTACTCTCTCGAATATCCAAGTTGTTGAAACAATCACAAGCATAATACAAACTTCTAGGTCTCATTATATTCGATCACGATTTACCTGTGAATTATTTTGATTGTTTTTCGCTTATAAAGTAATTAGTATCTTTTGAGCAAAACAATTTGGCGCCGTCTGTGGGGATTTCGGCAATCGAAATCATAGTTTGCACCTAGAACATCAAAAATAAACCACCTTCCTTCACACCCTACTGAAATCGAAAAATGGCGGAAAATGACGCAAGATTGAAAGCAATAGCAAGCGTCACAACCAACCTCATAGGCCCCCTCAACGAGGGCGGCAGAGAAAACATCTTGAGCACAACACCTGGTAGCACTCAAGAGGGAGAAATCTCACCCTCCCCGTCTGAAGATCTGACGATCATGCAAGAAAAGGGAGCTTCCACGTCTGTAGTCAAGAAGCTACTGGAAGAATGGCTGACGAACACCCTAGGCAGCTTGCTCGAAAAATCGCCCCAAAGCAACATTAAGAACCCGTTGACGACAGACATCGCTACCACCAGTGAACACGATACTGTACGTACAAACAACAACCACACCAATGACCAGACCAGCGATGGCACACTTGCAGCCATCCTTAAAAAAATGGAGGAAATGGAGAATGAAAACAAGGCACTTCGGGATCAGATGTAAGAGCATCAGGAAAGAGTAGATGAAATTCCCGGCGCTCCTAAGTTACTACCAAAGCGCGACGTGGGAAGATTCGTCGAACAGCCATACAGCGAAGAAGCTGCACCTCACCCGATCCCAAAAACCCTCAAGATGCCACCCTACTTAAGGATATATGACGGGACGACGGACCCCGAAGACCACCTGATCCACTATGTGACCGCTGTGAAGGGTAACGATCTGTCAAAGGAACAAGTACCATCCGTACTGCTGAAAAAGTTCGGAGAAACGTTGACGGGGAGGGGGCGCTAACATGGTACTCACAGCTGCCAGCCAGAACGATATCAACATTCGAAGAAATGGCGGATAAGTTCGCCACCGCCCATGCAGGAGCAAAGAAAGCAGAGGCCAGGGTCAACGATATCTTCGTCGTCCGACAAACCACAGGTGAGGGACTCAGGGACTTCCTGGCCAGATTCAACAGAGTAAGGATGAGCCTACCAAACGTATCGGAAGGCATGGCGGTCGCAGCTTTCCAAAACGGGCTGAGCAGAGAGGGTTCGAGAGCAACCAAAAAGCTACTAAGCCGACTCATGAAGTATCCTCCCACCACATGGGAGGAGATCCACAACGCCTACTGTGCCGAGGTACGAGCAGATGAGGATGACCTCAACGGACCAACCCAGCGGCTCACGAAAATACAGACAGAAGCAAGGAGGGATCAACGCAGCGAGGGCCGGCGGGAACAATCCTCGCGCTTCAACAAAGAAAGGCAAGAGCCTTACGTCAGATCCTTGCATCCACCACCGCCTAGACACACAGAAGCACTGCAGCGACATGTCGCCCCACTCCGTAATGAAAGAGGTATGCCCCCTTTATTATCCGCCCATAACTTTTGCGTGTCTCCCTCAGATATAGTGTACGCACTGGAGAAGCTGGGCACCAAGGTACAATGGCCGCAGAAGATGAAATCAGACCCCGCCATGAGGAAGTCAAATGTCCTGTGCGAGTTCCACCAAGAACGAGGGCACAAAACCGAAGATTGCATAGGGCTACGGCAGGAGGTGGTCAGAATGCTGAACCAAGGATACTTGAGGGAGCTGCTCAGAGATAAGGGAAAGATCAACTTCGCACGAGGGTGGGATCAACCTCAAGGGCCGCCAAAGCCGCCTTCGCCAGCACGCACCATCAACATGATCGTCGGAGGAGGCGACGATTCAGCAATCAACCATGTAAAGTTCACCACTTCGCACAAACTGAAGCGAACAATCGCCCACGAACAGTATGATGACTTCGAAGAGAGTATCACCTTCGATAAGTCAGATGCCAACGGTTTGTCTTTTCCTCATTATGATGCTTTGGTCATAACTTTACGTATTGCTGACACTGATGTTAAGAGAATCATGGTTGATGATGAAAGCGGAGCCTGAATTATCCATCCAAGAGTCCTCGCGCAAATGAGGCTCGAAGATAGGATAATACCGCGTTGCATAACACTGACAGGTTTTAACAATGCAGTGGAACGAACCTCAGGGGAGGTATCATTGCCGATTTTAGCAGGAGGAGTTACGCTGGAAACCACTTTCCACGTCATGAACCAAGAACAGCCTACAACGCCATCATAGGACGCCCGTGGATACACGTCATGCGAGCAGTCCCCTCAAGCTTCTACCAAGTGATCAAGTTCCCCACCCCTTGGGGAATATTTAGCATTCGGGGCAAGCCGCGCACCGCGCAAAAGTGCTACCGAATCGCTCAAGACTACTCACACACCAAGCAGTTGAAAGGAGCAAGTGCGGAAGCATAGCAATCAGCCGTGTCGAGGACTAAGGTCGACCCGACAACGGAAGCCATCAAAGATCCGGACATCGTAGAAGCCTGCAAAGGGATGGTCGAGGATCTCAACCCAGTACAACTAGACAGCACCGACCACTCAAAAAAAGCCTACATCGGACACAGCCTCTGCGACCCAAGTAAGTACCATGAATTTTTAACTAACCACGCAGATCTATTTGCTTTTTCTCATTCAAATATGCCGGGGATACCAAGAGACATTGCCACCCACAAACTGAACGTCGGCCCACTATATCCACCCGTGCGGCAAGTTAGAAGAAAGTTCAACGCCGCAATTAACGAGGCCGTCAGCGAAGAGGTAGATAAGCTACTGGCCAACGGGTCCATAAAGGAATCAAAATATCCCCAATGGGTCGCCAATGTCGTCATGGTCAAAAAAAAAACGGGAAGTGGAGGATGTGCATAGATTTCACAGACCTTAACAAGGCATGCCCGAAGGACTCGTTCTCGTTACCTCACATCGACCAGTTGATCGACGCCACAGCAGGACATGAGCTATTAAGCTTCCTAGATGCCTACTTCGGCTACAACCAGATCATGATGGCCGAGGAGGACCAAGAAAAGACAACTTTCATCACCCACTAGGGAACGTATTGCTACAAGGTGATGCCCTTCGGACTCAAAAACGCAGGGGCGACGTATCAGAGGCTAGTTACCAGAATGTTCAAGGAACAGCTTGTCAAGACATGGAGGTCTACATCGACGACATGCTAGTAAAGTCGGCAAACAAAGAAGACCACCTCGACCATCTGAAAGAAGCCTTTGAGATACTACGACAGTACGGGATGAAATTAAACCCAGAAAAATGCGCCTTCGGCGTAGCATCAGGGAAGTTCTTGGGTTTCCTCGTATCACAACGAGGTATCGAAGTCAATCCTGACCAGAGCAAGGCTATAAACGCAATACCTGAGACCTTGCACAGCAAAAAACAGGTACAAAAGCTGACAGGGCGAATAGCCGCCCTATCCAGGTTCATCTCGCGATCCTCCGACAGGTGCCATAAATTTTTTAACGTATTGAGAAAAGATCACGGACTACAATGGAACGAGGAATGCGCCGAGGCTTTAAAAAAATTGAAAGAATACCTGTCTTCGCCACCATTGCTAGTTAAAGCGAACCCTGGCGAACCCTTGCTAGTATACCTGGCAGTGTCCGAAGTCGCCGTCAGCGCAGTCCTGGCCCGTGAAAACAAAGGTACGCAGTCTCCTATTTACTATATCAGCAAAACCCTAGTGGACGCTGAAATACGGTATCCACACCTCGAGAAGATGGCTCTGGCACTGGTCGTAGCTTCACGAAAGCTTAGACCCTACTTTCAGTGTCATCCTATAAAAGTTATAACGACCTTCCCCCTGAGAAGCATCCTACACAATCCCGAGTTATCGGGCAGGCTCGCCAGATGGGCCATAGAGCTCAGCGAGCACGACATATCCTATCACCCGAGAAACGCCATCAAGTCGCAGGTACTTGCAGATTTTGTCACCGATTTCAGTACAGAGATTCTGCCGGAAGCGGAACTAGAGGCCATTCGTGCCACTCCTAGTACCGACCTTTGGACCCTCTACACTGACGGCGCTTCCAACGCCTCGGGAAATATAGTCACCCTCCTCCATTCAGCCATAGATCACACTGAGGTACTCTCTTTAAATCTAACTTGGGACTGGCGCAACCAGTTTATCTCCTATCTGCAGGACCGGACACTCCCGCTCGACAAAAAAGCAGCCAAAAAGCTCCGCATACAAGCCGCCCGATACTGCCTAATAAGTCACGATCTGTACAAAAGAACGTTTGGCGGAACCCTCGCTAAGTGCTTGGGGCCACACCAAACAAGGCAAGTACTCGAAGAGGTACACGAGGGCCACTGTGGCGCACATTCCGGCAATCGCGCTCTCGTTCGTTGCATCATCCGAGC